CCCCAAAACCCCAAAACCCCTTGAGACTTGATATGATTGATTTAATCGAATTTTTAAGATTATATATGATAATAATGAAATTAAGATTAAATGACTATAGACATCCTTTAATGGTTTCCAATGACTTTCAGATTTTCCAATCTTCTTCATCTATTGCTTAAGTTTTATTTACATCTATACTCTACTAAAGCCTTTTTAAAAATGTGATCCTAACAGATTTAGCTATCTTATTATTTTTTGTGAAATCATCATTTTTCTTTTCAATGTCTAGAATTGCTCTAAATTCATCACTAAGATGCTTCAATATTCTTTTATCTATCTTCTAGCTTTGACTTTACACTATTAACTAGCTGATGAAAATCTTCAGCTAATCATCTTCAATCTTTTTTATCAACTATATCTCTCTCTAGTTGAAATCAGCTTCTTTTAAAGCCGTATCATTTGGTGATAAAACATTGTACCTTAAGATTGGAATGAAAAATGCTTGGTATTGAGAAAACATTGTTTTGAATATCAGATCGACTCTTCTCATTGTTTTCATAACTCTAACAATATCGAATTCATTCTCGATATTATTCTTAGCTTTCAAGTACATTTAATATTTTTATATTTTCTTTTTGTTCATTCCAATATTCCCCAGAAAAATTCTGCAGCATGTATTTCTAAGTGAATATTTCATTAGATCCTTAAAAGTAAACTTAAACTTCTTCAGATTTTTGATAAACCTGAAAATGCTTTCATTTAAATGATTTCTATCACCACTCAAATTTTAACTTAGAGACGCAGAAGAATCTTGTGGTGAGCATTTTATAGTTGTTGGTCTAAACAAAGGTGAGATAGTGCCAGAAACGTAGTTGTCATCTATTTTAATATCTCTATCTTCACTTGTTTGGTAGAAGATCTTGCTAATAATTGATGAAAGAAACAAGTTCTCCTGAATACGTTCCATAAAGAACTGAACGAAAGTGAAGGCGATTCCCATAAGTCCTCCAACAATTGAAAATGCATCTAGCATAGTCATAACCGTCCTATCAACAGATACGTAACTCTCATCCATATCAATCTCTACACTGAATAGACTCCATCCAGCATCCAAATATCTAGTTCCGATTTATGTATAGTCAAGTCTCCCTGAGAAATATGTGAATTCGTCATTGAATAAATTAGTGGTAAGCCAGGAGTCTTTTGTTATGGCCTTGTTTTTACTATATTTCATCATTTGATTGTTACTAATGTACTTATTTAGAGGCCAATAATTGTTCTAGATGTTGTTTACTATTGGTTATTGAGAGTAATTGTTATGATCAAAGTATTGAGTCAAGTATGAGAAGAATATATTCATGAATGGCATTATCTCGTCAGACTCATTGTGAGATTTGCATTTTAAATTTTGATTCGGATACCTTCTATCTAGTACATCTTAATTACAGTAATCAACAGTTACATAAATAATATAGGCTGACTTTGATGATGTACCACCAGCTAATTTTAAATTGAATTCCTTGTCAGGGCATAAGTAGTTCCCAGTAATGTTGATTAGCTTAGCTTGCCTTTTCTCACCAAGAAATCTTGATTCATCACACAATTATAATTCTATTTCAGTTTACTACCAATCACTGCCTGTTCCCCATGTATTAGGATCATCTTCAAAAAAGACTTAGAATATCTAGGTAGTGAAATATGTGTGGATATTTTCTTAAATATTTCCATCCCTCTTTCCAAAGTAGGAAATAAATATGCCCATATCAAAGTTTTCTCTACTCAAATCAAAAGCTGTATCATCAAATGATAAATCTCTCTTGTATAGTGAATTAACAATTGCACTTTGTGACCTGTTGATAACTGTTACTAAGTTTGATAGAAAATAGCCAAAGATGAGGATTCTAAGTATGACAGTCACAATACCCCCGAAAGTACTTTTAAATGTTGGTTAATTTTAGTAGTTCAATGTTATTTTATGCCCGAATGCATCTTGAGATTTAAGCATTTTTAAAAATCTCTTCAAAAATGGTGGCTGTTTAATCATACTGCTGTTATTCTTCATTTTTGACGAATTCTGGAATATAATTGTGATTCTTTGGAAATTTAATTATACTTTTATAATTTGAAATTCACTTTATTTTCTATTACTAATCGAATTGCAAATCAATATTCCAATGCGGGGTTTTGGGGTTTTGGGG